ATATATATATAGAGAGAGAGAGAGGAGCTATAAGTAGAGGTAAGAGCTTTGAAGATTTGAAGTGCTTCTAAGGCATCCGTTTTGAGAACAATGGTTAGGACAGTAGATCAAGAGTGATATGTCCACCAGGTGCCATGATGGGTGTTGCAGGGAGCTTTCTGAGTGAAGTTTGTGAGATTTTCCAAAAGACACCCTTTCAAAAAGCTACCTTCGTCGCAGCCAATACCTTGCCCAAGCTTCTCAGTGGAGAATCATTCCTTGGCGAAGCTTTCATCCCAGGAGAAAGAGCAATTTCTTCAGTGGTTACAAGTCATCATATTGGAAGAATATATACATATATTCTCATTATATATATATACATGTATATATAAAATATATTTATAGATATATATTTTTAGATATATATGTTTCAATATATTTATATATAAATATATATAATATATATTAAAGTATTCATTTATATATATATATAAATGGTTTTTCCCAAAGTACGTTCAGAAGTGCATTTGGCTGTCCTCTGGAGCCAGGCTGCCTACTCTCAACTCATAGTCCATTTTCTAGCTATGACCTGGGCAAGTTACTTCACACCTCTGTGCCTCAGTTTCCCCATATTTATAATTGAGATGACAGTAGTGCCCACTATATAGGGTAGGTATGAGGATGAATGAGTTAATATTAGTCATGAGCTTAGAAGAGTGCCTGGCATATAGTAACATTACATAATGTTTATTAAATAACATCTCCCGGGGTGCCTGGGTGGCTCAGTGGGTTAAGCATCCCCCTCCTGATTTCAGCTTAGGTCATGATCTCAGAGTCGTGACATCCAACCCTGAGTCCGGCTCCACACTCAGCAAGGAGTCTGCTTGAGCTTCTGTCCTTCTCCCTCTGCCCCTCCCCGCTGCTCATAAAAAATAAAAAACAAATAAACAAACATCTTCCCCTGGAGACGTGTGGGTGGAACCTGCTGAGGCCTCCTGTGTCAGTGGCAGGTAGCTAAAGGCTTTCCTGGAAGGGAACAGATGGAACTCTCTTCTCTGCCTTGCTCAGGGCTGCCGCCATCTTGGCCCGGTTGTTAGGGAGGTGCCATTTTTGCAAGGTGAACTTCAGTTGAATCCTGAGTGGCCATCTGATAGCCTTCGGCATAGTTCCTGCTGCTCTGAAGAAATCTGAAAAGCAGTTAAGAGCACTCACGAGTTAGACCGGCTGGTTTGGATCCAAGCTCCACCACTTTCCAGCTCTGAAGCCTTGAGCAGTATACTTAATCTTCTGTAAGCCTCACTTTCTCATTCTGTAAAATGGGAGTAACGGCCTAACCCATAAGGATGTTGAGAGGGTTAAAAAGAGGTCACGCACAGCACATGGTATGCACTCGTAAAAGTTAGCTCTTGGGTTTAGCGAAGTTAACTAAAGACTCTCAGTCACAGTGGCCTGATCTTTAAGATGGAATAATGAGGGGCTCCTGCCTGGCTCGGTCGGTAGAGTGTGCAAATCTGGATCTCGGGGTCATGAATTCAAGCCCCATGTTGGGCATAGAGATTACTTGAAAGGAAGGGAGGAAGGGAGAAAAAGAAATTAAAAAGGGAATAATGACATTTCATTAAGTGGTTGAAAACCCTGAAAGGCTTAGCCCTGTCCATAAAGGGGAGGTGGATACAGAGGAAACCACCATTTGGGCTCTTCCCATCATTCACTCCCAGAGCCCCACCTACATCAACATGTCAGGACTCTCACCTCTCAGAATCAGCTCAGGGCCGACCATGGGAGCCCTTCCCACGGTCCCGGTGCTACCACAGGGGTGAACAGAATTAAGCGCATCCGGCCTTTGGCTACCTTTCCTGACCACAAAAGCTACTGCAGGTTTTTGTGCTGTTTCTTGTTCGCTTCACACAGTATCTGGCTGCTTCACCCTGTGGCAAAGAGAAGGGGGCATTTTGATTAAAACACAGACAAATGCCATCTGGCAGAGTGTTCTGGCATCTCATCTCCTGAGGGCACTGTTGACATCTGAAGAAAACATAGCGTTGGCATGACGGGAGAAAATGGAGTGGTCGAAGGCAGAATTAAGGGTTTAGGACAAGAGAACGGGCAGAAATCACGTTTCCGGTACATGACCTCAACTCCAGCCACAAGTCAACATTTTCTTCCCCACTGTTGACTGAAAGCCTCACAAAATACAAAGGTTAGTCAGAAGTGGCCCTCCCTAGTAAGGCTACACCACAGAGACGAGCCCACGTCCTTGCTCCCAGCAGCCTTGTGTCACCTCTGCTCCTGACCTGGCCTTCCATTTAAACAGGGCTCTCTAGGGGCACCACTGGGGTCTGTTTGGGTCACTGCTGTACCCCTCGTGTCTGGAACAGAGCCTGGCCCACAGAAAGCACTCAGTCAGTGTTCATGGAATGAATGGAGGTTAGCCTCTTGAATTCTCTGCTACGAGGAGCTTAGTATTTTCTTTTTTGTCATTCAGTTGTGGATGCCCTCTTTAGGAAAGAATGGGAGCCAGCCCATAAGAACACCTATGTCTAGCCGGGCTTCGCTCATGGTAAAGAGGGTAGCACTAGGATAGTGTTCTCTCCAACTAAATTTAAGCCCCTTGAGGGTATGCTTTACTCTCCTGAGCTTGAATGCTTGTGTTCAATAAAAATTTGCTACAAATCACTGACTGTTCTCATTTACTTGAAACGCACTAGGATAGAGATGAGAATTTGGTTTGCCAAAGCAACTGTTGATAAATTTGTCCATCTCTTGCCAAGACCCCTTTAGCCCATTAATCCCCCCACCCCCGGAGTTAGAGGGATTAGCAGATAGTCAGGGCTAAAATCTAAAATGGAAAAGTTTGGGGCGCCTGGGCAGCTCAGTCAGTTAAGCATCCGACGCTTGATTTCAGCTCAGGTCATGATCTCAGGGTCCTGGGATCAAGCTCCAGGTGGGCTCTATGCTCAGCGGGGAGTCGCCTTGAGATTCTCTCTCTCAAATAAAATCTTTTATTTTTTTTTTTAAGATTTTTTTTTTTTATCTTATTTATTTGACAGAGAGAGACTCACAGGGAGA